AAATTCTTTCTCTTCCTTTGGCCCCTCCCTTACCTATTGAGAGGCAAGCAGTATGATACCCGTTGTACATATGAAGTCATGAACAGCATTTCCAATTAGCTATGTTGCTCCGCCCCTCCCCCCCAAAAAATGAAATTGGAAAAAAATATACTTCAATCTGTGCTCAGAGTTCATCAGTTCTCTCTCTGGAGGTAGATAGCATTTTTCATCGTTCTTGGATTGTTTTGGACCACTGTATCGATCAGAGTAGCCACGTCTTTCACTATTGATCGTTGTTACCATATTGCTGTTACTGATTTCCATGGTCTCCTGCTTCTGTTCACTTTGCTTTGCATCGTTCATATAAGTCTTCCCAGTTTTTTCTGAAACTGTCTCTCATCATTTCTTATAGCACAATAATATTCCATCACAATCTTATACTACAACTTGTTTAGTTATTCCCCAGTTGATAGGCATCGCCTCAATTTCCAGTTCTTTGTTACTATAAAAAGCTGCTGTAAATATTTTGGTACATACAGGTCCTTTTCCTTTTTCTTTGATCTCTTTGGAATGGAGACTGAGTTTTATTGATGGGTCAAAGGATATGCACAGCTTGAAAGCCTTTTGGGTATAGTTCCAAATTGTTCTCCAGAGTGGCTGGACTAGTTCACAACTCCACCAACGGTGCATTAGTGTTCCTATTTTTCCACATTCCCACAGGCACATTTCTCCCACATCCCGTCATTTTCCTTTACTGTCATGTTAGCTAATCTTGTAGGTGTGAGGTAGTAGCTTAGTGTTGTTTTAATTTGCATTTCTCTAATTATTAATGATTTAGAGCATTTTTTCATATGGCTGTTTTGATTTCTATCTCTGAAAAGTGCCTAATCATATCCTTTGACCATTTATCAATTGGGGAATGGCTTTTATTTTTATAAGTTTGACTCAGTTCCCTTTTTATGCTTTTCTTGAGTCTTGTCTGTGTTTGAATGTCAAATTCATCTCTGGTCTTTTCATCAGGAATGCTTGAAAGTCCACTGTTTCATGAAATATTCTTTTTTTTTTCTTCCCTTCTGAAGAATTATAATTAGTTTTGCTGGGTAGGTTATTCTTGGTTGTAATTTCTATCTCCTTTGCCTTCTGGAATATTATAACCCTATTCCTCTACTCCTTTATCATAGTAGCTGCTAAATGTTGTGTGATTCTGAGGTTTTTTTCAGAGCTAGTTGTGGGGTTTTGGAAGTTTTTAGTGTTTCTAAGGTAGTATGATCTGGAAAGAGGAATGGTCACTGCTCTCCTAGGCTGCCGTCTGGCTTTACCCAAGAAGAGTCCCTGCTCCCTTGCTACCACGGGCTTTCTTCTCTGCTCTGGAATGGCAACTACTAAACTGGGTATGGGCAATGGAGTTATCAAACAGCCCCTAGTCCTGTGCCCAGTGCTAGCATAAGGGGTCCTCATACTCTGACCGGTTGTCCCATCCCCTTGCCATCTCTGGACTGAGAGTTCCCAAAGCTGCTGTTGCTGCTGTTCTCCTCCACCTTCAAGTCCACAGCTAGTGTTGCCACCGCGTGGAGTCTGGGCCAGCCTCTACCCCAGTGTCACTGACCTTTCCTTCCAACCTTTGGAAATTATCTTGAGCTGGAAAAATGTCTTAACCCTGACCTTTTGTTGACTTTGTTGCTCCAGAATTTGATTTGTGGTGTTATTTTAAAGTTTGGAGGGGAATGTTGGAACAGCCTGGCTGGGTTGCTGCCTCTACTCAAGACATCTAGGCTCCATCCACCTAAGAGGCTATTATAATAGTCCAGGTGAAAATGCCCAGAAGAGAACAGAAGAAAGATCAGTGGGAAACACAGACAAGCAAGACAACTTTGAAATTTGATACGTACTTGGTGTGCTAAATTTGATACATACTTGGGAGGAGAAGCACACTGTACATAGCTCAGATTTGTGTCTGCTTATGAAATAGTTTTCTATTCTGCATTATAGAAGAATACTGATCTTATTTGGTATTTGTTAAGTACGAAATGAAATAAAATGAAAAATTTTAAAATAGTCCAGTTGAGGTGACAAGGCCTGACCTGAGTGGTGGCAGTGTGAATGATGGGAAGGGATTGTGTTTGAGAGAGATTGTAGAAATAGGATCAACAACATTTGACAACTGATTGGGTATATGTGTTCAGGAAGAATTAGGAGTTTAGGGCGACTGAGGTTACAAACCTGTGTGATTGGAAGAATGGAGGTGTCCTTACCAGAAATACTGATGTTTGGAAGAGGAGTGGGTTTTGGAGAACAGTAATAAGTTTTCTTTTGGACATATTGAATTTGAGATGCAATGGTACCTCTAGTACAAAATGTTCAATTAACTGTTGGTCACTCAGAACTGGAAGTTAGGAGGGCTGGATTTATAAGTCTGAGAGTTGATAGCATAGAAATGATAAACACATGTGATTGATGAAGGGACCAAATTAAGGCAGTGATGAGAGAAAAAGGAGAATTGGGCACGGGACAGAAAGTTTGAATATACCAATAAGAGGGGGATGAGATAATAATGATGATGAGCCAGCAAAGAAGACTGAAGAGCAAGTGGTTACCTAGATAGAATGATAACCAAGATTGAATGTTGTTCTGAAAACCTGGAGACCAGAGAGTCAACATTGTCAAAAACTGCAGAGAACAAGAAGAATGAGGACTGAGAAGAGACCACAGATTTGGCAGTTAGGACATCATTCATAACTTGAGTTCCTGATTTCTGAGTTGTAGGTGTCTAAGGCTATGGGGTTGGAGCCACCAGGCTGCCTAAGAAAGGATGAACTTGTCTGCATCAAAAATGGAGTAGGTCAGCTCCTATGACAATTTGTATAGCGAGATAGTGGGCTCATGAGTGGTTACTGCCCTTCTAGCCTGGTTGAGATGGAGCGACCTGGTTCTCAAACAAAAAATTTTTTTTTCATATAAATGTTTTGTAGTTTTATTTATGCAATCCTGAATGGGTCTTGTTGACTCCCAGATAATTTAATCTTTTTTTTTGGGGGGGGGGGATGGACATTTCAGATGGAATTTCTCTATAAAATTTTCTCCTGGTTTTTGTTAATTATGTACAGCAATATTAATCTTTGCTGTGGATTTATTTTGTGTTTTTTTAAATTGAAGTTATTCTTCACTAGATTTTGTTTACCTTCTGTACTCTCACCAAACTATTCTTCCATTTTGTTCTGTCTTCTCTTGCCTCTCTGCATTTTATGCAGGCTGTCTCCCATGACCTCAGGGAACTTATGCTCTGTTCTGAAGACAACATGCTTATGAGCACAGTGCTTATCCCCTGTGCATATAGCTTTTCCACTAACTTCATTGTAAGCCTTTTGGTATAGGGACTATTCTGTCTTTCATCTCTATTTCTAGTGCCCAGCCACACTTTCCTTTTAATTGGTGTTTGTTGAATGCATTTTTCTTAAAGTTGTAAAAGCTTTACTTGTCTGTCACCTAAGTTTAACATTCTTTTTCTTTTTGGTCAGGCAATTGGGGTTATCAGCTAATTTTAAAAATAACTTTTTCAGTTTTTATGTTATGTATGCATGCCATGTAAAATTCCATGTCACACTGTTCTTTTGGATCCCATATAATCACATACATATTTTGAAAGAATAATTCTCCAGAGTTATGCCCCCCCTTTAACTTGTCTAGAATTTTATAAAAATTTTTAAGAGTCTTAGAAATATCAGAAATCTTCTGTATCACAACCGAGTGTAGGAAATAGTGTTTTGAGTGAATTCTTTCCCATCTCTTTTTTTGTTTTAATTGCCAGTTGGGGAATTCCACATCTGTGCTGATGATCTCTGATGTCCAGAAAATAGATGAAATGAGCTTTACTTAAGTTAGAAAACAGGGTATATGACTTGGCACAACCTAACTAGGTTTTTTTAAGGTTTTGAGGGCGATGGATTCATCACATCAACTTGTTTCTAGGTCTCTGCCCGCTTTTAAAAACAATTAAAGAATTAATGACCATCACTTCTATGCTTTGGCTGATAGCTATCCCATTCTTTTTTATAATATCAGTACTAACATCTCAAATACCATATAAAATCATTAAATGTTAACACATTCCAATTTTCATATTACTTATTTCATGTCATGTCTTATGACCAACAATACTTTAGGATTTATTGAAAAATCTTTTTTCCCCTTATTAAACACAGAGTTAGGTTTTATAGACATATACCTATTTTCTGTGAATTGTTTTAGTTCTTGAGTTGCCTTTCTGCTCTTTTCTTATAGTGTGCAGTTCTTTGCATGTTCTAATTTGCCATGACGTGGTCAGTGCTGTTTCCTTCCTGTTGCTTGCAAGCCTGTGTTAGAGATAAGGGTACATTTCAGTACATTTAAAAAAAAGACCCATCGAAGATCAGAACAACACGGTAACTCGGTTTTAAAACCATTTTGTTTCTCAGAAGATTTTTTTAAGGGCCTGAAGTTCTTTTTGTCTTCTGCTTATTTACAGAAGTAAGGTAAAGATGACTTAAATATCTAGAATGGAACCAGAAAACATGACACAAAAGTTATTATACCTATAGAGCAGGCTGAGCAGGGATGTTCTGCTAAGGGGAAAATGAATATTATACAGCATCTAAGTAGGTAATTGACCTGGTTGGTAAAAATGAGGTAGGAGGCATAAATTGATTTTGTTTATGATGTTGCCTTTATAGTAATTATGTATTTGCTAATCATAAATATTTGAAAATTAAAATATTCTAGATATGATAATTTTCAGAAAATGTTTATGGAAATCAAACTAATAAAAGTTGAGCCAAGCTCTCAACAAGAAAATACTATATGATTGACTTGATCATAGCTTTATAGCTGGAAGGCACCTCAGAGACTAACTACTCCAAGACCCTCATTATGTCTGATCCTTTTAATTGCTAGGTGCCCCTAGAATTGATTTTAATTTTTTTTCTATATGGCCTGCTCTTGCTGTGTTACAAGTGGAAGCTAACCAAGTGACTTGTTTTTCTTTTCAGGGGAAGACATATAAATGAAGAAAAATAAGTCAATGGAAGGTTTCCTTTGTTTAAATTAAAACACTGGAAAACCCAGAAAATTTATGTGTTTTTGACACCTGTGATTTGTACAGCAAGTTGAGTACTGGAATCTTTCATCTGATACTTGAACCTGAAATTTTTCTCATGAAGCATTAAAGGGAATGCTTTATTATGGCTGCTGTTGTACAACAGAACGATCTAGTCTTTGAATTTGCCAGTAACGTCATGGAGGATGAACAACAGGTATGAGAGATAAAGGAAATTATATTTAAGTATCTTTGTCTTCTCTATTTGCATCTTATAATTTTTTAGAAGAGAAAAATTTAAAAATATCATGGTTTAAAAACATGAAGACAGCAAATTAATTTATCAACGAAAGTGAAAGTAAAGAATTTGAGGGAATGTGAACTCATGTTTTGAACATTTGCATTCCAAATTATTATTCTCTTCTGATAATGGGCTATGGGCAAGTGAATTAATTTCTTGCCTCAAGTTACCCACTTTATGGTGATTTGAAGATTTTGGCATACATGTTGAGTAATAGTGTTACAAAATACATGTCAATAAGTTTTTTTTTTTGACTTATGAACTTTTCTGTTGCATGTGACCTGTGGGAGTAATACAGTAACAGTAATTTATATAAACCAGTCTTTATAAATATAAATAAGTTTTATATAAATATGTTCTGAATAACATTGATTAAAAGTAAGCTGTTAAAAATAATGTCCTATAATATAATTAAAACACGAATCTATATGCCTTTGGATAAACCATTCAATCTGTGTCTCAGTTTCCTTATTTGCAAAATGAGGGAGTTGAACTTGATTTCAAAGATTCCTTCTGGTTCTAACATGATTATATGCAAATTAATATGTGCCTAAAATAATTTGGTGGCTCTTCTAAAGGACCCTGAGCATTGAGTTAACAACACTTGTGAGCCACACCTCCTTCTACTTCTACCCACCCTGGAACACGAATGTATTGAATATGCTCTTCCACCCCGCTGCCCCTGTGGCGCGTGCCCCCCCCCCCAATTTCTGGAGAAATTGAATTGTATTTGGGTCTTCTTACACTTGGTCTACTTGCTTTTCCTTGAATTTGCCATTCCTTTACATCACCTGTGATAGGAGCTGGTTTTTCTCTTTCTATCCCCATTATCTGATGCAGTACCTTGCATATGTGTCAACACTTAATAAATTTGAATTCACTGTGGTATTCTAGAGGAGTTTCATAGAAAGGGGAGTCAGTTAGTGGGGGACAGAATTATAGAACTCTGAGACTTAGAGATCAGCTTCTACTTTTTACAGATTAGGAAGCATACTTAGGAAGACTTGGTGGTATCACTAGTAAACAAGGAGTAATTAGTTGTGGCAGGATCAGGAAAGGGTTGACAAAAATCTTGGTAGCCCTGTGAGCACATGAGAAGGACAAGGCAACCATGCCAAGATCATAGTTATATTATCCTTCTTATGAAGTGTATATTCAAGAGTAAGTGAAACATGTTATATTAGGCTTTTATTTTCATAGAAGGGTTTCATAGGACCTAATACTATCATCCTGATTTATTTTTTTAGTTTTTAGTTAACACATGTAAAACTTGAAAGAAACTCAGAGGAAGTTGTGACCTAAACCTCTGAATAAATCTTCTTTTAGGTAACATTGAGGTACCATTTTTGCTTAATTTTTCTTGTGCTTGGACAAATTGAATGGCTTTTTTGAGAGTATTGGTTAGGTTTTAATCTAGAAAAAATTGAAAGTGCCCGTCGGGAAGGGGCAATGGAGAATACAGAGTATGTTTCAAGGGTAATAGTAGCCTTCTCTTAAAACTTATGATATTTAGTAAACACCACACTGCTATTAGATAGACAATTTGAATAAGTCATTCCCTGCCTACTTGGACTTTATAGCCTAGGAATACATTTTAAGTGTGATTATGTGTGAGTTGTGTCTGTATCTTACAAGGAACGCCATGGTACTGTGGAAAGGCCTTGGATTTGGAGTCTGAGGACCCATGATCAAATTCTGCTTCTGCCACTTAACTACCTTTGCAAACTTGGGCCAGTCCCTTAAACTTTCTGGCCTTCAGTTGCTCAATCTGTAGAACAAAGGAGATGACTAAGTGCTATTAAAGGTTCCTTCAGCGTGGGGGAGGGGAACAAGCAGGCACTGTGCTAACCACTTTGCTAATCTTACATGATTTATGATCTAAACCAATGACTTAGACATACATATATGATCTCAGATAAAATTTTTGACAGATTTAAGTTGAATTAAGTGCCAAAAGCTACATTAACATAACATTGGAAGTCTTATGGAAGAAAATTTAAGCTTTACAGTTTCCTTCAGAAAATTGGTGCCAACTGCTCAATGCAGGACTGGTTTAATGAGACGTTACTGCTTCACAGCTTTCCCTTTTTAGGGTGATGTCCAAAAAAGCTCTTTGCTTAAAATTGTGTGCTTTACAAAACACACAAACACCCGGGGGCATGGTAGTTCTTTGTGGGTGTCACCTTAGTTGGGTTTTGTGGTGTTCCATTATTTTGTTTACGTGTATTTTGTTTTGTTCAGTATTTCAATTGTATTTGACTCTTCATGACCCCATTTGGGGTTTTCTTGGCAAAGGTGCTAGAGTGTGGTTTGCCATTTCCTTCTCCAACTCATTTTACAGAGGAGGAAACTGAGGCAAATGGGGTTAAGTGACTTGTGCAGAGTCACACAACTGGTAAGTGCTGAGGTCAAATTTGAACTGGGGTCTTCCTGACCCCAGGTCTAGCACTTTATCCACTGTACTGCCTGTGTAGATTATGTAATAAAGTCAGACATTTCATCAATGAATTTGAGGTTGGTTCTAAGAGTAAAACAGTTTTTGATGATGTAATAATGGGGGCATATGGAATTATAAAACAATGCTTTCTGAATAGATAATACATTCTTATGGGAGGGGAAGCATGATGAAGATAAAAATATCCCTGGACCAAGAGACAGCTGATTTATGTTTTAACCTTGGCCCTTCACTTAGTAGCTGTGTGGCCTTAATAAAATCACTTAGTGTTTTCTGAGCCTGAATTTTCTTATCTGTGATAAATTATATGATTATATTATATTTTGATACAATGTAGTTAATTTTTTTCCGTAGAATTATAGCCATAACATACCATAGTAGGTCCTGGATCTGAGAGGTGGCCCTTTGACTTACCCAAAGCATTTGAAATGGAGAATTGTGCCCTTCCTAAGGTGCACAGGTGCATCTTTATATGTACTGTAAGATACATCTTTACACAGCTTCTCCTTGTGCACAGATAAATGGAGACCAACTTGAATGACTTCAGGGTATAAAAACAGGGCAGAGAACAGAAGGTGTAATTCTTCTCATTACTCTTATCTTCCTGATGCTTGCTCCTATGAAGCCAGAGTGTGGGCCAGGTCTAGCTTAATTTTCTGAACCAAAATTTGAACATAGGATTTGACAGAGATGTTTTTTCTTGTGCTATATTGTCTTGTGTTGAAGTATATTAGTTTTGAAATTAGGATTAGATTTCTGGGATTCTTTGATTTTTTTGATGTTCAAGGACCATGCCAGAAGAGATTAGGGGTGTTAATGTTGAAGACAGCCCAAGAGGCATCAGACATGGATGACAGAATACTCACTTTTATTGGAGAATAATTTGTTTTCTAACTTATGACTGTTAGGATTTGTGTTAAGGATTAAAATGTGAGCAAAATAAAGGAAAATTAACATCGATGCTGTTAATAGATACTGAAAAGTTAGCAAATTACAATTTGTCTGGAGTGAGGATCAAGGGGGAAAAACAGCAGTTTGGTTTAATTAGGTAAAAGTAATGATTATGACTTTTTATGAGATCTATTTGCTTATTTTTTACATAATTACCATTTGGCAAATGGTAATGAAGCATATCATTAAATAAATGATTTTCTTGTTTTATTTGATCACAGCATTTAATTCTATTTGTGTCCAGTCTTTGTAGTTAGCTCATGGTAGGAGACAGTCTTCACTTTAACTTTCTTGTAATTCATTTAGATGAAAACATGGTGCGCAACAATTGAATGGCATCTTATTTATTGCTAATTGGTTGGCCCTGATGTAGGACAGTGGGCGGTAATAATGATGTCCTGCTTTTTTGGTGACAGGATGCTATTGACCTGCCTTCAGTAGGATTAACGTTGCTGAACATATTTGTGTTGATTTATCTGTAGATGATGAATTACCCAATATTAAAAAAAAAATGAACAGATGGTCAGGGTTAAGGGTTGCATCTGTGACCCATGAACAGAGCAAATCTAATGTTGGGGGTTGAGCCTAATGATATTGATGTCATTATTATTCTACCTTGATCTAAGGTTGTTACCTTTTAAAAATGTAAGAATTGCTCTTTAAGACCACGAATCCACATGCATTTTAAAATCTCTATTCATTTAATTGCTTGGAGAACTTTTTTTCTTATTTCAGGGCATGTGCTATGAAGAAATTTTCTGTTTTCTAAAATTGCAGGTGTTTTGTAAAAAGTAGTCTGGATAATAACAGCACCTACCTCACAAAGTTGTGAGGATGAAATGAGGTAACATGGAAAACGCTTTGCAGCATTTTAGGTGCTATACAAATGCTAGTTTCCCGTCCAAACTTGCCCATCTTACAAACTTCCTTATTTCTCTTCAAGAGACTAACATCCTCCCACTTACCTAGGTTCTTAATCTCTATGTCATCCTCTGTTCCTAGATGTTACCCCACCCACATTCAGTTAGTTGATAAAACTTGCTCATCACAATATCTCTTGCATGCATCCTCATACTGCCACCACCCATACATCATACCCTCGTCACTATAACCTGGACTCCACAATTCTGTCCCTGTGCTCTCCAGTCCACTCTGAACACAAGTAATTTTTCTGAAATGAAAATCTAACAATGTGCTCGCGTTCTCTCTCTCTCTCTCTCTCTCTCTCTCTCTCTCTCTCTCTCTCTCTCTCTCTCTCTCTCTCTCTCTCTGTCTCTCTCTCTCACACACACACACACACACCACGCACACTCTCTCTCTCTCTCTCTCTCTCTCTCTCTCTCTCTCTCTCTCTCTCTCTCTCTCTCTCTCTCTCTCAACGTATAAGCTCCTCTGTTTGGCATTTAAAGGTCTTCAGAACAAAACTACCTGTCCACTCTTGTTACCCATTACTGACCTTAATGTTCTCCAGATAGACCAAACTGGCTTTGCTATTCATCACAGATGACAC